AGGGAAAGAATTATTCATGTTAAATACTTGGCATGTCATGACAGGAATACGTTTAGGGAAGATTTCTTAGAAATGAGACTGAAGTACTGCAAATTATCTGGTAAAGGTAACAGATTTCAGGGAATTGAAAAGGGAATCTCAGCAATGTGATTTGGAGCTGTAAAGAAGTAATGCTGCCTGCTGATGGACTTCCTCTGCTTTTGGATAGTGCTTCATTTGGTAGTTGAATCGTCTTGCTTTGTACTGCAGGCCTGGGGAGCAGCAAGAAGAGTTTCCAAAGATGACTGGTTGGAATGGTTAAGAAGACTGAGTTTGGAGCTACTGAAAGATTCTTCCTCACCATCCTTGCGCTCATGCTGGGCCCTGGCTCAGGCATATAATCCCATGGCTCGGTAGAGTAATTCTGGGTTTTTTTCGGATCACTTGAAATTGCAGATGTAAGCCAGATATTATAAGGAAAAAGAAAGTTACTTAAAAGCTCTTGGGTTCCATAAATATAGTTCCTGCTTTGGGACAAATCAAATAGCTGGCAACTTGATTTCATTTCCATCCTTCCCAGTTGGCTGCTCCGTGATGTGCACAAAATCTTTCAGTGGAATTCTGCATATTAGTCTAGAAATAATATAAGGCACATAAGTGAAGCTGGAAAAACAGCAGAGTATGAAATAGTTTTGAGGATCTACTGTGGGTGAATAAAAATGCCTCTGAGTGGAATAAGCTGCAGTGCTTTATTTCTTTTGCAACCAGTATGTCAGGAGAAACTTTGAGTTTCTGTAAGCAGTTGCCTGCTTATCTCTTCCTGATGATATACACTTGTCATCTCAGTGCATATGAATCTGACTAGCGCTGTTAGAAAAGTGTTTGTTCCTAGTTTAATTTTGTTTTAATGTGAATTTTATTTCTTTTGAAATAGAAGGGCAAACAGCATGATGAAGAGTCAGCAGTTCCTAGGTAGGCAGAGGTAGTGATAGTGTCCTTCATGTATACTCCATGCATCTCAAACCCATCCCACAGTATTTCTCCACTGTGAAATGGTGCCCCAGCAAGGGCTGCCACTGTATCTGTTTTTCATCACCTTTCCTCCTTCTCAAGATTTGCTACTTATGCAAACTCCAGCTATTGCAGTCCTCTAGTGAGCATAGAAAACACAAGTGTTGTGGCATGTGTGTCGAGAGAGATGTACAATCAGCTTTTTCACTACATTCATTTGTAATCTAAGACAGACTAGGCCTGGTTCTTCATAGCAGAAGAGAAGAGCATCCTTGCTGCTGTGAAGAGTTTGGTCCAGCCTACAATACTTGCTAGCATATGATAATACAATATTTCTACTCCTGTAGTATGAATGCAGGCTTCCTAAGTATTTGGTACAGAAGTTAGCTTTAGAAAAGCTAATCACTATTTATTGCAGGTAGACATATAAATGCATTTTGTAGCTCTTTTTCTCTGAATATGAAGGCAAGTCCACTGTCAAATAGACTTTTTCTCATGAATAATGAATCCTCACCTCTCGCTCTCTTTTGCTTTCCACCTCAGAGATCTCTTCAATGCTGCTTTCGTTTCGTGCTGGTCTGAACTGAATGAAGACCAGCAGGATGAGCTGATCCGAAGCATTGAATTGGCCCTGACTTCTCAGGACATTGCAGAAGTCACTCAGACACTGCTGAACTTGGCAGAATTCATGGAACACAGTGACAAGGTAGAGACGCTGTTAGGCAACTCTTCTCTAATGCTGGCTAGCTGGCTGATGTCTAGTCTATGGAAAGGGTGTGAAGAGTTCATGCATACTTTCTTCTTTTTTATACTCATCCTGCTTTTGGTGTATGTGCTTCTACCCAGGGTCCGCTGCCTTTGAGAGATGATAATGGCATTGTCCTCCTGGGGGAAAGAGCTGCAAAATGCCGAGCATATGCCAAGGCCCTTCACTACAAGGAGCTGGAATTTCAAAAGGGTCCCACCCCAGCCATTCTGGAGTCTCTCATCAGGTAGGACAACAACCGATGAGATTTCTGCTCTTGCATCAGTACCCAATTTAGGATACATCTAGACAATTCTTAGGATTTCAGTCTCTGCCACGAGACTTTGTTGTAGGCTTCCTAACTAGCTGGCAGATGTACACTCCTAGCTGCTGAGTTCTGCCCTTTTATTATGTGGTTAAAATTATGATAGAAGCCATGGGAAGTTGTGCAGGAAAAAGTGGAGTCTTCTGATTTCCACCTTTCACCCTTCAAGTTCAATACGGGTTGGCGTGGAGTGGCTGTAAGTTAGATGAGAGAGATTTCTACACCTACATACAAATAAGCCAGGAAAGCTGAATTAATTAAAATGTCTCATGAAGTTCTGCTCATCTAGCTTATATAAGTCTCATTCTTCATATATCAAATAGAATATGTTATAACAAGAGTGTATTGTTTCCTGAGCTTTGTCAACAAGAAAGAGGTTAGCCTGAAATACCAGCACAGGATTTGGTACTAAACTACACGTTTTAAAATGTGAATCTCAGATTCATATCACAGAAATGTTAACTCTGCCATTTGAGATGGACAAATTGATTTTGGTTGAGCAAAAACTTAGCCTTGTATGTGGTGAATTTTTCAGCCCACATACTTCCTTGGAATTGTGCTTTCCTGGTTTTTTTCCCCTCTTTTTTTTCCTTTCATCCTTTGCCCTTTCTTGTTTTTCTGAGGAAAATACAGAATTCAGTATATTCCCTTTCCTGGCCTCAATCACTTGTGCAGCTGTTTCTTTGTCTATCAAAAAGCAAGTTAAGGAGCAAAGACTTGAAGTAAAGCAGGATTAAAAATGAAAGACAATTTATTAGACATGAAAAAGTTTAGAAATGTTTAAAAGTCCATTTGATAGACCACAGTTAAAATAGTTCCAACTATAGTTCCACACAGTTGAAATTTACAGTATGAATAGTCAAATGTATGTAAGGTAATTCCCGAGACACCTTTGCCTTCAATTTCACACAAGCCTGAACAATTTAAATTAGATTCGAACTCTCTTTAAGGTGAATAAAAATAGATACATTAACTATAACGATCTTTTCTGACATATTCAAACAGTATGGCTACAGGAGGCGTCTCTTTCTTTTTTAACTGTTATTTTTAACACTGTGTTATGTAAGGGGGAAACATACTGATTTTTGACATAACATCTCCAGGTAACTTGTAATTGGGGTAGTTTTCAGAACAGATTTTAATATTCTTCAGTGTGGTATGCTAGCAAACATTCCCTTACATTGGAATAACTTTTGGCACTTATGGATTCTTCGGTGTGTACTAGTGTTTTGCTCATGGATACAGTGGTTTTAAGTGTTGGAGTGGAGTTGTTTGGTTGGGTCTGGATTTTTTTTTGACAACCTGCTGTTCTCTCTTAGTCTTACTAATATATAGCACACTTATGTTCTAACTTGAACACAATTTGGTGGCAGCCCAGAAAGTTGCTTTCTAGTTTATCAACTTTTAGGTGATCTTTGGATAGGAATAAACATCGCAGAGCATATGGGACAAATCCTTCTTCCGGGGTTACTGTCTGCTGGGTGCAGCCCTCTGTGGGGACTTACTTGAGGCAGCAGCAGGAGATGGCAGTAAAACTTCAGGAGAGAACCTGGACAATACTAATTAATCCAAAATTTTTGAGGTTTGTTTTTTCCTCTGTGGGAATATAAGCCACTTACTATACGCTAAATAAAGGTGCATCAGGGACACTTCTGATTGATTCCTCTGGCTTGAAACAGGTATGTCATTTTTGTGATTCGAGTCCCTCTTGGAAGGAGTTACTCAGCAAAGCTTACTCTAGATGCTGAAGGAAAGGCAACAAGGAGGCTTTCTTTTTTCAGTCCCTGCCTGGCTGGTTAATACTAAGGCAACCCACTAGTCACGATGCTAGTGAGAACACACCAGTAGGTTTTCTGAAGGTGCTGTAAGTGCATTCTCTCCTAACCTACTCTAACATAGTATTTTTCCCTTTGGAAAGAGCATTAAGAGGAAAAATAAGTTTGAGCCCTGGTAATGCTAGCGGCGTGGCTGGTGGTTAGTGTGCCTTAGTGTTTTTGTGTGTACGTAGCCAGTATGTAAGTGTTGCACATATTAGATGAAATGAACAATTATTTGGCTGATTTTGAACTGTCCGTCGCCCACCTTCTGTGCAGTGGCATCATGTAGCTGTACAATCAAATATTGGTTCCTTCTACGGTTTGAAATCCTCTGGCCGGATCTTCATCTCAACTCTCTTCAATGAATAGGTTGATCCGTGCCAGCCGTACCAGGTGATGCCGTCCATGTTCTTGGTGTGTTCTCCTTTGCGGTAGTAAATCCCATTCAGATTGGAATCTGTGCAGCAGTTGTACCAATATCCACCTTTTCAGAAAAATTAATAGATTCCATTTACTTAAAACAGGTATGTTTTGTATTAATAATAAGAATTATTGCTCTTTCCTGAGGAGAGTGACCAGCATGTGTAATTTAATCCCTGGAGCCTATGGCCTTAATAGCTGGGATTGGAGATAAATTCAAAACTTTACATAGATACTAAATACATAAAGGCTTTACAGTTACATAGTCTAATTAGCCCGGTAGCTTTTCATTTAGTTGCTCATTCCTCTTAGAATATTTCCTTGACATGTTTCTGTCTGACTCTGAGTTAGCATAGGAAACGAATCTGGGTTCTTAGCTTGGGCATCTGAAGGCGTTTGAAAGGTTTCTGGACTCTGCAAGTAAGCTGCACTATTTTATTGAGACTAATATCAACAATTTTACTTGCATGTCATGTGGGGGCACAATAGGGAAATTAAAAATAAAGGGCAAGACGCAGTGAAGACAATTATCTTTGTGACACATCTCATATAAAGATAATAAATTGGATGAAGAGAGCAACCTCATTAGAGGCTCTTAATAGAGTAGGAATAAAGATTAGAATTCAGCTTGAACCTTGAGGTGCGTGTAGGATAATATAGGAGAATAATTACCAGTCCCTAATACTAGTACTTGAAACCTCATAAAAATTTAAGAAAAAATAAAAACCTTAGAGATATACAGGAATAACTTCCTGCATCACTTGAATTGCATCAACATCTGAGATGGTCTGGCAGATACACATAATGGGCTGAATAACAGTATGTGTAGGTGAGAGCACACACTAAACCCTTTGAAGAGTACTGATGTCTATAACATACAGTCTGGCTCTGTGTAAATTGGCTTTAATTGCCAGATTTCGCATATAACCAGTAAGGGCGTATTCCAGAATTGGTCACCTCTCCCTTGATTTGACATCCAGATGCTACTTACTAGTTACTTGGAAAGAGGGAGCCTTGGGCTCTCTACAAATTACCCAGGCAGCTCTCTCAGGACAGGAAGGCATTTATCTGGGTTTTACCTTTACGGAACTGGGCACAGTCATCCACGCACTTGTCATTGTCCTTGTCCTTTGTGCTGAAGGCTGTGTTGTTGTGGTACCTTAGGGAATCACGCCCTGTGTTGCCAGTGTAGTTCCCCACAAAAAGACGATAGCTATTTATTTCGTTGCTCAGGGTGAATTGCTTATATTGCGCATAGCGTATGTTGCCTTCCCAGTCCTGCCACAGAACAGTGAAGAAGAAATAGGTCCTGTTAGAATAGTTATGAAAAGACTCCACCATCTGTGGCTATATACAGTGCATGTTGCATATCTTTTCTCAGTCCTAGATTTTTCTCAAGTTTAGTTTTTTTCTGTCTCAGACTGCAGAAACTTATCTGTTAAGGCAAAAAAACTTACCAGAACAAAGCATCGTGTTTCCAAGTTTTATCTGCAATGGCATTAAACAATATGTATGGAAACCTGGTGCAAGACATCCTTGTCTCAAAGCATGCTGTCTCGAGTAATTTTTTTTTCCTCTCTGAAAGAGTGACTTTTAGATATAAAGCCTTCCAGCTCACTTTTTCCATTATACATATCCCATCCCTCAAAGCTGTTGTACTAGCTGTTAACTCGTCTATCAAACCCAAGCCTTTAGTAGACTGTAGGAACTGTTTTGCAGTAGTACAATGCAAACTCTTGTACACAGGCTGGAAGGAAGCGCTGCGAAAGGAGGAGACTCAGAGTCTTTAAAACTTTATGGGACATCTCTTGTGAATCTTTAAATCTGAGGTGGTCAGCAGTTTGACCTCTGTCTGCAGTGGATTCCACAGGATTCTCTAGAGCCCCGCATGTTCCCTAAGACACAATCTGTATGCAGACAGAAGGTTGTCCTACTGACTTTGCACCATGGAGAACATAATTCTGTTTTGTCCTTGAATGTATCACTAGGTCTATCCTACCTCCTCCTGTAATTAAAGCATGCAAATTCTTTGGACCACCTATAGATATAGGAGATGGTATCTGCTACTAGAGAGTCACTTTGTACAAAAAGCCTTTTGCTGCTGCAATTAAGAGCTTGTTACCTCCAACTCCACTCGCAGAACAGTGGGGCGTCTTGAAAGTCGGTAGATATTTTCATTTCCCAGCCAAAAATCTCCCCGAATATTGCCAAATCCTTCCTTGTATTGTTTCCAGTCCCTATTGAAAGATGTCAAACCAACTTTACGTCTTTGGATGATAGTCCAGCCACCTCCATCTGTCTCCATGTCACAGAACACCTAGAACAGGAAAAAAGGCACTGTTTAGTTGTCAGTAGACTTAGGAAGGTTCAATTCTCTTAACACAAGACAAGATATTGTTCCACATTACACAACTTGAAGAAATTCCTATTTTGTTTAAAAGTCATGTAAAAAATTTATTAAATGAAACCTTTTTCTGTTTTCCCTCTTAAATGTACACCCTTTCTTTCCTTGAAGTTTGCCTACGTAAAGATGGTGATTCAAAGTGCAGGGTATCATAATTCAGAATGTGCTCTTTTCATCTCTGTGGTAGATAAGTATTTCTTGATTATATTTGAAAAGACATGTAATATAGATTGTGTACTTGACATCCTTACCTCCAGGTCTGGACTCCCCAAAAATTCATCAGGAGGTAGCTTGTAAACACCAGAGATTCGGTAGTTCCTCTGGTAAAGTGATGAGCAGTCATAGACAGCATCTACTTGAATCAGAACCAGAAAGTAAGAATCTGAACAGCAAGAACTCCCCTGTAAGTGTGGTTTCTGTAAAGCTTAGTTTGTAATACAAGGAGTAACTAAGTGAAGACGACTTCCCACAAGTCTAATGCTTTCCTGAAGTAATTTAGTTTTGATCAATGCATGCACTGGAAAGAGGTTGTAGCACTGGGACTTTGATGGTTTGGGGTTTTTTTGTTGGTGTGTGGTTTTTTGGGGGTTTGTTGGTTTTTTGTGTTTTTCTTTTTTTTAACCTCTGCTATGCAAAGAGACACCTGTGCTTTCTCTTCACATTGCTACTGTGTGTGTCTGTGCTGGAAGGTAAAAAAGTATGTATTTGCTGTCCCCCTCCCAAATAATAAAGGGTTATCAAATAGAATGGCTAGGCCTGCTGCCAGATGCCTGTTTTGATTGTGTGCTTGAGCAGGTTAGCTAAGTTTGCGGATGAGGCATATTGTACTAGAGCCTGTGACAGAGGTGGTGGCTTTTAGCTGCAGTCAATCTGTCAGTCTCTGCAAGCCTCCTTTCCTCCCTGTGCAGGAGCTGACTTGAAGATGGTAAAATGCACAGCTGTTCTTCTGAGGAAGATAAACTAGCTGAAGCAAGGCTTTATCCATTCTGACAGTTTTCAATTTAGTACAGACTAAATGTCTCGTACCTGGTGAGGTGAGACGTGTCTGTTTTAAATACCTTCCGGGCCAGTTTCTTCTGTGTGGTGTTCTGTTTTTTCCAAACCTTTACTACAGCTCCAAAGATATTTGTTATGGTAAAATCTTTGTTTAAGACCTACTGTAAACAGTGGTGTGTCAAAACTAGCCAAGTGGAACTTTTTGTAAGAAGAATTTAGTAAATAGATTCAGAAGTTTTCCTTTACATGTAAAAAAAAAAAAAAAATCCAAAGAAAGCCTTTTGGCAAACCCAGTCATCCCAGACAAAAGCAGTCTCCTTTTAAGGAAGTTTTAAGCTTGATGCAGTGAATTTTATGTTAAGAGAAAAGTCAGCAAAAATGACACTTTCTTCTACAAGTGCCCTTACTGGTAGCTGACCAACAAAATGCACCTGCATTCCACATTTAGTACAGGCCTGTGCAATCACTGTGTGCAGTGAAATTTTCCCTCAGGGAAGAGAGAATTTTGAACAATTTAACTGTGTTCTGGCTAGGCTTATATCACAGTTTGTATCCTGCATTACCTACAGCCTTGAATTTTTGAGAATTATCATTCAAATAACGGATCACTCCTTTACTCTGGTTCAGAGATAGTCATAGAGATACAACTGCAAATCTCCAGTAATCCTTGGAGAGCATTTCTAATTCTTTTACCAACTTCTAGTCCCCTGTCAGCACTGTGAACTCAGAGGATACCTCTGGCAGAGACATTCCCTGATGAAGCCAGCTCCCTTTCTTTTTGGATTGGTACTGTAGTGCTCAGAAAATGAACTATTAGGCTGAGTTCCTCACTGTACTAATACAGTACCTGTTCAGTTTCTCCACTCTGATAACAGATATACAGATATTAAAATACAGATGGATCTTTGGACTTCGGACAGATAAATTCAAACTAGTTTTCTCAGGATCGCCTGCCTACAGAAGTACTTTAAGCAGAAGTATTCAGTATGCATACTTGCTAACCACATTAGTGGGACATGCTAGCATTAAGAACTAGTCATTAGTTCATTTTGTGCATTAAGAGGTGTATCTGGGAGCTTGGCAACTCCCATCTTACCAGCTGAAGTTTGTGTGACCGTCTGAGCTGCCTGGAGTTGCATGATATCTATCTGGTTGTTCATTTCGGAGTATTTGCTCTCAGCATCAATGAGACGGGACTCCATCTGCTTGGTGCTCCCTTCCAGCTCCATCACCTGCATGACCATGTTCACCCAGTCGCCCTCCTGCTTCTTGCTCAGCTCCTGCAGCATTCTGCTCAGGTTGGCTACTTGCAACTTGAGCTCCTTAATCTCATCGCAGCAGCCTGTCATCTTGGACTGTGCGTTCCCATTGATAGTTCTCCTTTTAGGAGGCTTCTGCAGCAGTGCTGGATAGAATGCCACAGAGACAGTGACAATGCAGAGCCATGCCAGCTGAGTAGTGGATCTTGCTGGCATTTTTGCTTACAGCAACAGAAAACTTCCAGCTGACTGCGGGTAGTCTGAATGCAGCTGGGGTAGGTATGAAACTTTCTGCAAGTGCTACAGCAGACTGGTACCTAGCTTTCTTCCAATGAAGTGAGTCTCTGAAGGTGGAGCCTGAAGAAGTAGCTTTTTTTTCAGACCCCTCCTGTCAGAGTCTATGCACTTTGGAAGTCTGTCTCAAAGCATCTTATATACTATTTTTCTGTTTACCTCCACCCCCCTGAAGCTATGAAGAGCTTCTGGCCCCTCCCATTCATCTGTTCATATCAGGTGTTTACAGGGTGAAACTGGAACAGGTTTCAGCCAAGAAAGGTTGGGGAGAGCAGGAGAGACTTCACTCAGTTCTGTCGTGAAGGGGTGTGGGAGAGGGCTAGGAAATGAGGAGAGCTTCCAGCAATTATTGCCTATTGGATTCTAGCCCTCTTGGTGACTAGTTCTGGCACTTCAAAAACATAAGAGCATTAGAGGTCCAGAATGTGAAAAGGCTGCCCAAACAGGATGAGTTTATAAAAGTTCAAGGAAGGTAACTCCCTAGCAGGTAGCCAGCCCTAGCTGCAACAAGTCCTACTAATATATTCCGCAGAAGTTGTAGGGGGTAATTCTATGCTTGCAGTATTTCTTAATTTAGATAATATTTTAGCAAATTCATCAGTTCAGCATCTAATCCTCCTCTCTCCGAGCTCTGGTGTCTCTGCACTATTTGTTTGGTAGAATTCAGTGCTGTTCTTTTTAGAGATGGGATATCTGAGGGTGGAATGGAGAGAAGTCTGCAAAATATGTAAGTCAAAACCCATGCCTCTGTCTACTCATAGTGGACAAGTGAAAGGACATTAAGTAATGCTGAAAGACAGTCTATTTAAAATTGACAAGAGATGGGTTTTTTTTTTACAGGCAATGCGATCGGCTAACTCCAGTATTATGGAGGCCAGTTTATTAACAGGATTTTAAGAGAGGAAAATCTATGGGTAATTAAAATGTCTACGGTTACATAAAGTGTAGGTTTAAGAGTAAATCTTAAATCTTCAGACATTCAGAGTACAGGTCAAGTATCAGCTGGATGAGATAGTGCCTTCCAGTCTCCTCTCTTATATCCTTTAACAGTTTGAAACTTGATTACAGCTGTTTGATTCCAAAGTAGAACCGTTTCAGCAATGGTGCAGCCTTTTGCAAATAGGCCTCTGCAACTTTTGTTCTAGATCCTTACAGATAAGTTGTTTCTCCACAGGCCAGCTGCTCTGTAATTGCCCAACATGTGGGTTGTTGCATCTTCCTGCGAAGTTTCTGATTGTAATAACTGGCAGAGATAAGATGTAAATGAAGGAGTAAATGGCTTATGTATCTGCTCCTGGGGTAAACACCGTTGAAGCTTCTTGGTGTCCAAGAAAGCAAAAGAAAGCTAATCTTGCTCCTTTAACAAAGAAAATGAGGACAAACCTAACTGAGACATGCTATCCCATCGAGACTTCTTTTGCTGATCCAAAGTGGCTGCAGGATTTCTGCTTGATTACAAAAGGCTTGCCGATCTGACACGCGCTTTTAGAGAAATAGGAAGCACAGCTCCTTGTTGGTGCAGTTTCTCTTTCTCAGCTTTCTTACGCTTGTTGCTAGATGCTTTGTTTCTGCCTCTGATTTGCACCACAGCTGGCTAATAGTTTTTCTGCAGAACAGTAATGAAATACCCCATAGGGTGCAAGGATTTAGGAAGATGAAAGCATCAAAGTACTGAAGAGGTAGAATATGAATACAGATGTTTTATAAACCTGAATTTTCTTAGAGAAGGAAGAGGGGATCTTTCAGAGGCAGTCAGAATTAGACATCTCCAAACAGGCAGCGTGAGTGTCTTGAGTTTTGTTGTGGGTGACTGCTTGTGTGCTGTACTTCAGGCAAAAACCACTGTAGTCTGTAGTATCAGCTGGTGAGGCTACTGTGTGGTATTGGTGACCTGAGATATTGCCAGGGAAGTACAATTTGATTAAACTACAGAGGGTACCTCCACAGCAGACTGTGGCCTTCAGTCACATTTTTGTCATGGTCATTCCAGAAACCTTCCATAGCAAAACTTCTTTTTATACCTCAGACGAGAAAGTGCCACTGCACACAGATGAAAGTCTGACCTTTTTGTTCTGCTTCTAATCCTGTCTGAGCCCTCTTCCAGCTGGAGCTTCTGTCATTCCCAGGGGCAAATTCTTCTCAGGCTTCCTGTGATGAGAAATGTGTTTTTGTCAAAGTTGGAACGAAGACTAGGACAGGCCAGACTGGCTTCTCTGCCCCAAAAAGCCACCCTGCTAACACCCCACTACGTAGGACTTCGGTCCATTCTGCTGCTGCTCTCACTCACCATGACTCTTCTGTCTGTCTTGTACAGTCTGAATTTCACACACACTCACATCATGAGGGGCAGATGTGGAAGAGGGGAGCCACTTGCAGATCCATGCATTCCCTCTTGATACAAATTTTGGAAGGATCCAGGATTCAGCCAAACTCTCTGTTGCACGCAGATGTTATGCAACAGTGCAGAAAGGCCTCCCAATCCCCTCTGTAAACTGGAGTATTTAATTGGAAATGAGACAGCCAGGGTTTTATTTTGGGTTCAGCCTCTGATTTGTGTATCCTGATGCAAGCCATCTTTCTTTTGTGTACTTTGATTTACCTGTTTTAAAACAGAAATAAAACTTCTTTGTTCTCTCATTTTGTTCTGTGTAAGGGGGTGACAACAGACATATTATGCAGGAAGGGAAAAGAACACAACTCTTCCCATCTGTCATTACTTTTGAGGAAGCATTAAGAGAGACTTGGCAGAGACCTTAGCCTTAATGAAATTTGACTTCTGTGTGAGTATGTGAAAGATGAGTCTTTCCCTGTTGCATGGAGAGCTGAGTGTAGTCACTTAGACAATAATAGCTACTGATGCTAGTCATTGCCAGAGTAGATGAGCTGCAGAAGTTGACAGTCTGTAGGAAACTGTTCCACTCTTATGCACTGGTGTACTCGCAACTTGAATTCAGGATCCTGTTCTGTTTTGGAAAGAGGCATAGTTTTGGGCATAGCTAGGGAGAAACTAGTTCCGTGATTACCGAGTGGGTCCTAGTCCTATTTTTTTCCTTTCCTCCAGTACTGATAGATGAACCGGGTATCATTTGGTCTGAAATCCATCGCCCTAGTCTTCTGCCATTATGTTTTGTATATGGAAATATTTTGCTACGTGGTAGCTAAAAAGATGAGATCCTAAAGTCAAAAACATGAGGCAAATCTTTTTTGACTTCATTAACAATGTAGGTTTGAAGGGGTTGGGAGAATTGAGTCTAAACATGGTTGCAGTTCGTATGTACCCTATGCTTATAGTGTTGGTTGATGTTACCATATTCATGTATATTAGTATTGCTTCATTAGAACCAGATACCTCTTGTCCCTGGAGGGCCAGATTAAATCAGAGGTGGGTTTAAACGACTGCCTTTTCTGGGAAGCTGTTCTGGCAGGTGTATGTGAAGCTGAGACAAGAAGAAAAGCTCAGTACCCTGTGGCTATTTATTTGGTAGCCAGTCATTGCAAAACCCTTAATATGCATCTGGCAAATGCTTAGAATCTAGCATTCCTGGTGCTTGCTGAGATGGCAAAGGCTCTCATCAGCTCTCTGCTGGCAGATCGCAGGAGTCCACACTTTGTCAAAGCTCTGTGAAACAGTGCTTTCCCCTCCCAGGAAGCATGAGACTGTTCACCTCTGGCTTTGGAGGTGCTCATAAATGTTCTAACATTCACTCTGCTATAGCTTTACAGTAATGACTAAATCCCCAGTAAAGTCAAACAAAATTGTTTTCTACTGCAAATAATTATTGTAAATCTCTGAAGTTATATAGCAACAGGTGGAACAAGTTGAGAAACAAATGAGGGCCTGATGAGAAACTAATCACTGATTCTTCCTACAGTCATTTGTGATTTCTTTTTTTTTTATTTAATGTGTCTTTTCTTTGCATAACCAATACACAAAGACTCTGGCTCTGTGTTTCACCTTTTTCTGTAAATATCTTCCTTGGCAATTTTTTTTTCTTCTCTGCCTTCGCTGAATCTGGTTAACAAAGAATAGGTGATAGAAAACCTTTTGCAGCCTGAGCAGCAGGGCTGGCTAAGAATTTTATTGTAATGGTTTTCACTGCTTTTCCTTTCATGAATGCTCATGAATGTTTTTATTTAATTTGCAAGAATTTATATCAAGATTGGGAATTTGGCCAATTTTAATGCCTGTGAGCAATGTGGTGTGTCCTCACTGTGAAAAACTGAAGGGGCTGCTAGTCCAGCCTGTAAGCAGTCAATCATCACAACTGTTCATTGAAAACAGCTCTTTGTTGGTATTGGTTTCTCAAATGTATTTGTTCCCAGCATGGGAATAATTTTTAGTGGCATGATGGAAATGCATTGGTGTTTGGAGTTGTGTTGGGGGGCAATTGGTTGTTCTCTGAGGTTTGTTGAATCAAGGGCTCCGGGATGCCTGAACACAAATAAACTGTAGAATTGGTGAAACTGGGCTAACAAAGCCAATTCTTTTTGCCAGAGGATTATCTGTTCCCCAAAGTATCCACAAAGTAGCAGTGCCTTCCACTTCTAATAGCAGAAGCAAGCTCTCAGCACTTCTTCAGAAGGAAAAACAAGCTTGACTTAGGTTGGTCAAATATGTCACATACAGGAGCTTTTTAAGCAAACTTAGGGAGACTCAAAAAAAAAAGTTTGGCTTCTTGTCTAGGCTTTGCACACAAGCTGCTTTATTGCAAAAGTAAGGTTTCTCTACCAAGTTTTGAGATGCTTTCTGGCAATAGGAAATGTGTGTGTTCCTTCACAGCTAAGCTTGGGACCTCCTGAAAAGGCTCTGTTTAAAAGAAAGTTTTTTGGTTTTACGGGAAGATAGGGAAGGGTCCAGTCTCTTACTTCTGAGTTCTTGAAAATTTAATATATTTTGAATGACAGAGAATATTGTTAGAGAC